AGATATTAGCCCTGCCGCATGATTCCCAAACCACCGTGTTTGCTCAAGAAAAGCAATTGAACAAGATGGGTTAACCACTTGCACTCGCGTTCTGGAACGCCATAAGTGGCCTCAACGCAACCATCCATAAACAGGGTCCCAACACCAAACCAAAACCAGTCACCAAGTGACGGAAATGTGAGCATACCCTAAGCAACATTTATTTTACGATAGAGCTTTACCAACAATACAAATGACGAAAACGGCAACGCCATACGGCCCAATACCTGACCTTAAGTGAGCAGGTATGAACTAACGGGTACTGGAAAAAGGAATAGTCTACAGTCATCTTCGAGATTATGTGTCGCCTTCAACTTCTTATCACAATCACATCATACCTCCGAACGCTGCGCGAGAGCAACAGACACTGCGCTGCAGGTTAACGCATAACGCCGTCACATATCTGCTAAAACTGCGATAAAGGAGCTCCGGAGGAACCAGAGACATCGTTTGCGGATCCATCAATGTTATCAGGCACATCAGTGAAGCCAAGGCCGTCGATAGTTAGTGCGATCGGATTCGCACCCGATCTGTCCGAGGACAACGTACTAGCCGCAGGACCTTGAAATGCAGCGTCTTGAGACAAGAGGAGATTGTCTATTTGGCTAGCGCCAGGCGCGAAATCAAGAGCCACACTATCCTAAAAAATGATGCTGTATTTAGGTCATATGACAAGTGATCACGCAACGAAGAGTCGCTATCTATGCATTGAATATTACTAAGCATTGAAGTACAGGAACACTAGATTCAATGAATGGAAGTTTTTAATTATTGAAATGAGGAAAATTGCTGCAGAAGAAATTGTACAACTGAGAAAGTGCAATAGTGAAGACGTACTTGGGAAAGGCCTGAGAGTCCCACATGACCCACGGCTTGCTGAACCGTTCCTTCTGCTGTTTTGCCAGAAAATCCATCAGCAGTGTAGCGGCCAGAGGACCAGTTAGTAACTCCCTGTTGGGAGAGCATGCCAACAGCAGTTCCATTTGCGTTTCCACCGGCTGCCTGAGAGAGTAACAAAGATTGTGTGTTCATTGCATTTTGCTGGTTAGCGGTCGATGACCCCAAGCGCTGCTGGCGAGAGGCATTATATCGAGGAGCCACAGACCCCGATGAGCGAGGATTTGCTGCACCAATTCCAACATCCGACTGGCTTCGCATGGCTCCATAGAAGCTCGAATCCTGCGTTCGATTCGAACGTCCAGTTGGATTGTACATCATGCTCAGTGGTATAGGTAGGTCTGAAACAAATTTGATGAGTAAATTATTAATAATTCCACATCCATCGGCAGAATTAGCTTATTAAAGGCTTGAGGCTGAATTAACTATCCCCTAATAAACCAAAAAACATCATGAAAATAATCATTCTACAATGCGTACTTACTGGAATTTGCGTTCGCGGTGGCAAACTGTTGATTGGGACTAATAAATCCCATTTGGTCGAACAGGTAAGGGTTGACTGAACCGAACCCAGGCTGTTGATCAGGTCTTGGAAAAGCCACGCCCTGATGGGCAGCAGCGGCTGCAGCAACTGCGTAGGCAGCAGCATGATTAGCCGTAGAGTTCGAAGACCCTGAGTTCACAACATTGGGATTCCCAGCTCCACCAGTACCAAAGTAGGAAGCGGCTGCCGCCGCCATCGCCTGCATGAAGTTCATTGCGGGAGTTGAAAAATTAGCCGAGCCAGTACCATGGGACTGAACCAAGGCACCTTGATGCGTGGACAACTTTGAACGAGAGTCCATTGCAGCCTGGGCAAGCGTTGCTGCCAATTGATTGAAGCTATGAGTTCCCGGTTTGTAGCTGTATGGAACTTTTGGCTTCGGGAAGTTAAGTACGTATTCAGTTAGATTATTCAATGGACCCTCGACAAGTAAGTGTTGATCCTTGTAGAAATGCAGCAAATGGTTCCATAGTGGTTGCTACAGTAAGGACAAGACAAATATGGACCAGCTGCTTCGTCATATGTTACGATAATCAGAACTGTATTAGAACATCCATTTTGCTCCTCCATGATTTCTGATATTTACTTCCGTTAGGAATACAATTGTGAACTGGTAAGTCATAATAAACAGCCCTGCTTAAGGCATTTTATCGAATAAAGCCACGCACTATGATCAGAGCTCAAATAAAACTAACAAGATGCGAACACAACGAAATGATAACGTTTTACCGCCTGACATCGGTCAAATCAGGTTGGATAAATTATTCCAAAACGATGAGTAATTTAGCGCTTTTTCTCAATGCATACATAAATGCATACAAAACGTACTTTGCAAAGGGCTTTGGGGTTGCCAACAACAATCATCCCAAACTTAGCTCGCGTGAGAGCAACATTGAGACGCCGAGGGTCGTTAAGAAAACCGATTCCTTGATGCTCGTTCGCACGTACACATGAAAGTATTACGTAATCCTTCTCACGGCCTTGGAAGGCGTCTACACTGGCAACCTCAACCTCCTGGTAAAGTTTGGAGTTTAGTGAACCGGATTGGTGGAAGTAGTGCACAATGTAGGCACGCTGACCCTCGTAAGGAGTAATAACGCCGATTGTGGAAGGATTTACGCCCACTTTCAGCATCCTAGGTAGAAAATAATCGGACAGTGATAATAACGAGCAGTTTCAAAGGGAAGCGTTTTTGTGTCAAAAACTCATATCTGTGAATGGTGTGTAAGCTAAGCATGGGATCACAATAGAGCCGAGCTCACTTTGTCACAATTTTCTCGACTGTCGCAGCTTCGGTTCGATTAAGGTAAGAGACCCCGTTACCGGATATCTCCTCCTGACCCGAAGTACAGTAGAAAAACATTGGTCGATCTGGATTAGGCCATGGAAAATCTATCTTTTTGCAACGATCCTCCGTAGTCACACCATTCTGCAAGCTCCCTTCATAGAACACATTGCTTGGGAAAGCAGATAATGCCGGATGCATACGATATTGGACCTAAACCGAGAAAAAAGGAAAAACAAAGGAGATATTGCCTAAAGAAAGGGAAAAGTCGTCGCAAATAGGCGTAAACTATAATAAGCTATAGAAAAGGCATTGAGAGTAATTGTAATAGAAATGGATGACACAAAAATAAAAACATTGACACAAAACAATTAGAAATTTAGTATATCGCATATCCAGCGACAAACCTGCAAACGGATGGGACGAATGCCAAGAAGAACGAGGCGTTCGAAGAGACTTTGAGTGAGTCCAGCTTTGGCTGCTTTTTTACATGTGATAACCGGTCCCAATTGACAGTGGTCACCAACAAGAACTACCTGACGGCATCCAACCATCAGAGGAATTAAGCACTCGGGTTCGGTTGCTTGTGTTGATTCATCGATTAGTACGGAGTGAAAACCCATCCATAATCGTTTTGATCCAGCAGTCACACATGTACAGCAGACTACATCTGCAGCGTGGAGAATTTCATCTAAAATAAAGTGCCTCAGCGATGCCATCTTGTAACCGTTTCCAAAATAATGAAAGAGAAGCACCATACTAGTCAATCAGTTATAAACTGGTTCTAATTTGCATACCAAAGGAAGAAACACTTACCCTCCAATGCCTTCTTCAATGTTCTGTATCTGTTCTCGTCCTCTTTACTTAGTTCTCCAGCTTCATCTTTTAGTTGCTGTAGCTTCCTCAGTTCCGTTTGCCCATTGACGTTTTGAGCCTGAACGTGAAGGGTTAACCGCGAGACCGGAGAAACCAGAGCCTCCCTCGAACGGGCACAGACCCGAACCACTTTAAGGCCCGTTTGGTCAATCTTTTCACACAACTGGTCAACAGCCGTGTTGCTGGGGGCAACAACCAAGACCTTTCCCTTATGTATTTGACTCAGATGATACACAATGGTGGCAGAAGTGACAGTTTTTCCAGTTCCTGGAGGACCTTGAATCAAACTGAGAGGACGCTGAAGGACAGTTTTCACCGCATAAACCTGACTGTGATTCAGTTCAGGAAGTCCGGGAGCGGAATAACGCTTCGGAAGGTTGCATTTCAAAACCATGTCTTCCATTTCCCGACCAAGGATTCGCAACTTAATGTAGTTTTCCAGAATCTTGTTAACGTTGACAACGGCATTAATCATCCTGTCGTATGTAGTTCCTTTCCATTTGAAAACGACCGTGTATGAGGGAGCATTTGTAAACGTTTCAGGGATAGATTCCATCTCCAGAGCAACCTCATCGGAGAAGTCTGGAAGATCGCTTAAAAATAGTAAATGGCGGCTACGAAAAAAACAGCTCAGTAACTAAACTCACTATCAGGTATTTTGGTTACATGACCTTCCATGGCTTCTTCTTCTAGACCTCTCGATTTGATAAGTATTAATTCATCACCGTGTATGATTCTCAACTCAGGACCTAAGACCCCTTTATTACACCAATGTGACATACCTTCGTTGGCCCCAGGAATTCTAAAATACGCGACCCTCTTTCGATTCAAAGCCACTTCCCAACGAACGCAAACCTTTTCTAATTTAATCGACTCTTTGATTTTGCGATCGTACTCAGCTTCCAGACGAATAAGGGGAACAAATGTCTCACAATAATGGGTAGCATCGTCATACCTTAAATTGTTAGTAAAGAAAACTACCCTACCTCAATAGAACAGGATTAACTTCCTTTTCAATACCAGGTCTTTCCAAATCTACAACTGCAGCTTCCGGATTTTCCTTCCACAATTCTTCCAAGCGATTTATTTGTTGAGCAGATATTTGACGCGCCTTTGCTTGATCCTCATCGCTAGGAACCTTAACGAGCCACGATAAAAACTGGCGATCCTGAATAAGTGGCTGCCATTGAGTTGGGTCCCAATTCATGTCCTTATTTTGATTTGCGCATGGATGTCTACACAGTAGCACCACCACGGATTCTGCCTTCGCCGGCACAAAGCCAAGAAGAAACACATTCCGTGAACCACACACGTAGCACTCTAAAATAGTGTCTTTCAGTGGACTGTCTTTGTGCAAAGAAACCTCCTTGTATCTCGATCGGACAAGGTGGTTGACAATGTGACTGCAGGAGTCATGAGAAAATCGAGTATATTACCTTCCTGAAGTATTTCCCCGTCCATTGCAGAACCATTTTTTTGAGTTGGTACATAAGACAACCGATGCTGGATCACAAATACCACAATAAGCACAAGCGTGTTCCGGGAGTTCCTCAACTGCAGCATCCCCGTCATCGTCCAAAGCGCGTAGGTTTAGACTTTCGACCTTCTCAACAAGACTTCCAACACTTTTGCTATGGTCGTCAGAACTCACCTAGGAAAAATCGCGGCTAAACGATAAATTACTTCATTGTTTTCTAAGTGCGGCTTGACATCAATACGAGAAGACTGCGTTTGCGACTGTGTGGGCAAAGTAAAGTCTATCACGTCGAAATCGGGTCCTTGAGTGTCAGCGCCAATTAAACCCTCGTCAGGATCAAAAAACGTTAGAGCCTGCGAACTAGGACAATAGCTATCGAACACATCCATCAGGCAAAATTTGACTGATGTGGAAAAAAAGTCGATTTAATAAAACGCAAAGGAGAAAATCGCAATGGTATTTTTAGAGTGCCACATAGTTATATCAGTTTGAAAAATTTGTGCAAATAACTATTATGAGTTGAATTGGAACGGATTTTCAAGTCTCAATTTCATCCCTGCTTTAAAGGGCAAACGCAATTGTTTTATAAACAAATTTGCAAGTCAATACGATACGTATAAATTGGGGTGCAAAACGCATATACTGAATTAATAGAACCGTTGCTAACTTTAGACGGTACATTAAAGCGCCATCAATGGACAAACAACTACAGGAAACTAGGGTCAAAAAACTGCAGCCTGATAAATGACGGTCATTTCTTTAGCGTTCTGAGACTTCCAACCTGGTACAAGGACGTTTTAAATTGGTCTTAGTACTTGTATTTTAAAGGATACCAGGGATTGAACCTTTGCTTGGTCCGAGGGCCGATCCATTCCACTGAGCCACTGTCCCATATGTAAAGAGAACCGTAGTGTTATTTCCGACACATAAAAACGGCGGCGGTGTCGCTTCAGTTGAAACCAGATACAGACTTCAATCTAAATCCCTTCGTTATGAA